TTCTCTTCTCTTCTCTTCTCTTCTCTTCTCTTCTCTTCTCTTCTCTTTCTTCTTTTCCCTTCCTTCCTTCCTTCCTTCCTTCCTTCCTTCCTTCCTTCCTTCCTTCCTTTCTTTTTGAACAAGGTCTCATGTGGCCCAAGCTACTCAAGAACTTATTAAGTAGCTAAGCATGACCTTGAACATCTGATCTACTTGCTTCCACCTCCTGGGTGTTGGGATTATAGGTTTGTGATTGTGGCCGACTCCCAGTGTAATTGTTCTTCTAAATAAAGTATAGAATCTTGGCTGCTTCAGATAATAAAAAGACATTTTTTATTGGTAAATCCACTCATTCATCCATTTATGTGTTATATATTGAGCTAGGAAAGGTGGTATATACCTGACTTTGATACTTGGAAAGCGGCTGTGTTCACTACTATATTGCCAGTGCTGTTGCTAGATACTTGAGAAGCTGAGGCAGGAGGATTACTTGAGCCTATAAATATGAGACTAACCTGAACAACATAGTGAGACATCTCCAAAGAAAGAAAGAAAAAGGTGTACGTATGGAAAACCTACATGCTATCTGTGTTTATAAGCAGTATTATAGAGGTGCTAGTAATGAAAGATGATTATCCCAAAAAGGAATACATGGGCTGGGTGTGGTGGCTTATGCCTGGGAGGCAGAGGCAGGTGGATTTATGTTCAAGGCCAGACTGGGCTACAGAGTTCCTGTTTCAAAAAAATGTATAAGTCTATTTTGGTTAAACACAAAATGAGGTGCAGGAAGGTGGTGATTCTGCCTGTGCTCCTAAGCGTTTAAGAGACAGAGATGGGGTCTTGGAGCAAGCATGCTAGTTAGACTAGTAGAATCAGCCATCTTGGGTTCAAGTGTGAGGCTGGAGACTCTGTAAAGTGTAAAGTGGAGAGCAACAACAAAACACCTTTAGTCCCAGCACTGGGGGCAGAGGCCAGTGGATCTCTGTGAGTTCAAGGCCAATAGGCTCCAAAGCTACACACACAGAAACCCTGTCTGGGGGGGGGGGCACTGACCACTCTTCCAGAGAACCTGGGTTCAGTTCTCAGCACCCACAGAGTAGCTAACAATTGTCTGTAACTCCAAGATCTGACAGCCTCACATAGACATACAGGCAGGTAAAATACCAATGCACATAAAATAGAAATAAGTTAATTTTAAAAACCCAAACAAACAAAAACTGTGTCACCCTCTGACTTTTTCATGTGTGCTCACACATGCAGACAGGAATACCACACATACACTACAAACCAACACTGCAACAGATAGCCTTTGTCGTTGTTGAGGCCCTCCTATGTTTGCCTGCTATGTACTCTTTGGTATTTTTGTTTGAGCTATTTTCTTTTCAGGTCTGAAATCTCATTTTAGGAAAGTAGAGCAGAGATTAGTGGCTCACTTCGAAGTACAGTAAGGTTCCAGGAAGTACGGGTAGTGCTCATTATCACCCACCAAGAGTCGAGACCAAAGTTTATCTTTTTCTAGCCTTTGAATTACCAGTAGACTTGTACTTAGGGTCAGCTGCATTAATAAATGTTCAAGTATACCATTTCAAACATGCACATGAATAATAAACAAAACAAAATGGACAAAAATCCTTTTTGGGGGGCAGGTACTAGACTAGGCAGCAAAGTCTCCAAGACTGGAGCTAGTGTGAATCCTCCTGTCTCAGCCTCTAAAGTGTTGGGATTGCAGGCATATACCTCTCTATATAACGTCTACCTAAATTGTTAGAGTTTTCCCCCTTTATAAATAACTGGACATGGAGCTTAAAGATATAGTTTAGTTGAAACAGTGCCTTCATAGCATGCGTGAAGCTCTGAGTTCATCCCAGCACTGCATAAACTAGATGTGGTGGTAAACCCTTGTAATCCCAGCACTGCATAAACTAGATGTGGTGGTACACCCCATAACCCCGGCACTGTATAAGCTAGATGTGGTGGTACACCCCTGTAATCGCAGCACTGTATAAACTAGATGTGGTGGTAATCCCAGCACTGTATAAACTAGATGTGGTGGTACACCCTGTAATCTCAGCATGTGGGAGGGACAGGAAAAGAAAAGAGGACCAGAAGTTCAAAATCAGCTTTGGTTAAAAGGCAAGTTGCAGGCCTGTTCAGACCTTGTCTCAAAACCAAACCAAACTGAGCATAATGCCCATACTTTTAATCTCAGCACTTGAGAGCCAGAGGCAGGTGGATCTCTGTGAGTTTGAGGCCAGTCTGGTCATAGCAATTTCTAGGCCAGCCAGGGCAACATAGTTAGACCCTGTCTCAAACAAAACAAAACAAGAAATTTACCAAAACAACAAACAAAAAGACAAAAGGAAGGACAAAAGAAAAAAATAACTAGGAACAAAGACTACTAAAAGATGCAAATTGGTAGTTTCTGATCAACTTTACTTCTGATTTGTAAGAAAGGAAAACAGAATTGAGAGTTGTAAATGCTGCTTAGCATTTTCAGATCTAAGTTCAATCAGCACAGTCATCAACTGACATTTACTCTGAACCCCATGGGTGAATGGCATGGAACCAGATTCCACAAGAAATATTATCCTCTGCCTACGCAAGCAAACTTAGCTCTTGAGTTATTGCTTTCATGAGCTATACATAATGACAGTTGATGTTAATAGGCGGTGAGATTCAGCCTGAAATTATTATGCTAAAATAGGGACAATCACATACTAAGTTTAATAATAAAAACAAGGCTGTGGTAGTGCCTGTAGTCCCACCACTTGGGAGGTAGAGACAGAAGCTCCAGGAGTTCAGCTGCATAGCAAGTTCCAGGGTAGCCTGGGCTAAATTAAATGACCATCTGTTTGAAAAACAACCAAAATCTCCCTCTACAATTTCCCCTAAGTAGAAACTGTATATATATCTTGAACAAAGAAGTCATTGTTCAATAGCTATACTCTTAAGGTTTTAAATTATTTACTAATTAATATCTTATCAAATACTATTTTTCACTGAAAGAGTTTAATTTTATTTGATCACTGTATCAATAATGCAAGGTAGACTTTCAGGTAAAAATAAGGCGAATTGACTCAAAACATATGGATAAAATTCTTTGCATGAGTATATATATTTATGTGTGTATGTGTGTGGGGTGTGGGTATGTGTGACTAAGTGCAAGTGGAAGCCAGACATCAAACTCAGGTGTCCTTCCTCAGCAATAGTTTGCTATTTTTTTTCCTGGGGTGGAGATGGGTCAAGGCATGATGCAGTGGCCTCTGTTGTGGCCAAAATGGAAAGATGGGGAGGCCAAGAGCCTAAAGTATCTAGTTATCTCCGGCAGTCTCCCGTCCATTCTGCTTAGATCAGAAGAGATATGTCGAGGTCATGGTGATATAGCCATACACTTTTTAATCGACTCTTTATAGGTTTCATGCATCCTGATTCCATCCATCTCCCACTCCCTTCATATACATCCACACTTGCAACCTCCCTGCTTTTTTTTTTTTTTAAAAGACTATCTCTGAACTTGGACTGCATTTGCCTATCAGCAGGAACCCACCTGTTTTCCCCCCACCCCCAAGCTTTGGGTTTATAAGGGTGCAATGCTGCTATGCCTAGGCTGTTTTATTTTTTTAATGGGTTCTGGGGATCTAACTCAAGTTCTTATACTTTATCAACTAAGCTATCTCTCCAGCCCGTTTTTGGTTTGTGTGCAGCCCAGGCGGTTTGAGAGCTCATGGCCATTCTGTTGCCTCAGCCTCTCTAGTGCTCAGGTTATGAGGTGGGCATTTCTCATTTGATAAAAAGTCAAATACAAAGAAATCCTGAGTTGGGTGTGGTGGCACAAGCCTCTAATTCCAGCACTGGAGAAGCAAAGACAGGAGGATTGGTGCAATTTTGAAGCCTGCTTGATCTACATAGCTAGTTCCCAGTTATCCAGGGGTGCACAGGGAGAGCCCGTCTCAGGCAGTCAGTTATCCAGGGGTACACAGGGAGAGCCTGTCTCAGGCAGTCAGTTATCCAGGGGTACACAGGGAGAGCCCGTCTCAGGCAGTCAGTTATCCAGGGGTACACAGGGAGAGCCCGTCTCAGGCAGGCAGTTATCCAGGGGGTACACAGGGAGATCCTGTCTCAGGCAGTCAGTTTTGGTAGATAAAATGTCAAACATTTTTGATTAAAACCTATTTTTACCTTCAAGGTCAGTAACACATTTAATATTAAGGGAGTTTTAAAATTCTGTATTAAGACGGTTTTCTTTCAGCAGGTGTGGCAGTATACATCTATAAACCCAGCTCTTGGGGGAGGCCAGAGGACCCAGGTTAGCCTGGGCTGTGTAGGGAAACCTTGTCTCTCGTGTCTCAAAACAGAACAAAGCAGCTGGGGGGTGGGGGCTTTAGGTGTTTATCATTCTCCTGTAGTTCTCCGCCTGGTTTTTTCTTCCACACCCTAATCTCTTTCTTTCTAGTAGGGTTCCTATTGCTGGCTATCCAGCCATTACCATCATAATTCCATTTAAGGTAGCTCGGCTGGATCTATTTATTCTGTGTCCTACAATCTACTTTCTCTTTTAGCCTTGCTTCCTAAATCAAGTTGACAACCCAGTTTATTTTTCCTTCTTTTATTTCAACAACTCCTGGTCTAGATTGGTTAGGAGGCTACAATATAATCCGGGCACAACCTCTCCCCCTTGGAATCTGTATTTACGAGGTTTCCTTCTTTCCTGGCTGAACGTGCTGAAGCCCGGCAGAGTACCTTGTGAAAGACTTCAGCCCCCACAGTCCTCTGTGTGCGCATGCCCACTCTTCTTACAGTTGTCAAAGTGCTTTTCCAGAGCGGTCACATAATCAACCCGAAAGAAGAAATAAATACTGTTCATTTTTCAATTTTATCGCTCTTTAAAAACTGGACACTTAAAGGTAACTGCTGCTATGAATTCATTACTTGAAATTGGGTTATTGCATGCAAAAGCCGATCTATTGTGTGTGGTGGGGGAGGGGAAACAGGCATCTATTTCTCAGACTTTGCTATATATAAGCAAAAAACCTCCAACTCAAATTATACAGGCAGTTATTTAAGGATACTTCATATTGACTTTGTAAATTTTATCTTAATCACTGAGTTAGTTTTTTTTTAAAAGATCTTATTTATTAAAAGGTGGGTCTTGACCTTGACAGTGAATTTATACAGAAAGCAAAATTGCATTATTTTAAAAGAGCATTGAAAAAAGGAGTGTTTTCTTATAACATTGAGGATTTAATGAGGTAGTAGTACTATTGATTAAAACCATCATAAAATATTCTGAGTCTAGGTTACTTTTTGGCTTGGGGGTGAGGGGTAAAGTACAGCATTTTTTCCCATCAAGAGCATGCAGTTTAAGCTGAAGGCATTAACAAAAAGCATTGAATACAAACAGTAAGAAAAGCTATACTAAATATAATCCAATACATATTTCAGCCATGATGATATAGTCATTGTAAAGAAAATTCTCGCTGACCAAAACACTCAAATTCCAGAAGTATAATGGTCTACTGCAGCACTGTAAGAAGGAAGTGTGAGCATCTGTGACCATCCTCTTTGGCAGTGATGGAACTTTGTGCTGTCTGAGTCCGAGGTTCACTGTCCTCTGTGCTCTATTTATAATACTAATCAAAGCCATTGTTTTACGTAGAGGAAACTGAGGACCATAAAAGCAACCTAAAGCAAGCTCTATTGATAGTAGCAGGCAATCGGCAATCCTTGGTGCACGTTATATTATACTGGGCTGGGCTTTTTTCCCAGGGGAGGGGAAGAAGCAGGGAATAAGAAGGCAAGTACGGTGACTGAGAAGTGAAATGTTTCCCTAAGTCTACTATATTCTTTGTACGTGAAACTTTGAAATGAAAGATGTTATCTGTTAAGCATTTTAATGATCGTTTTAATAAAACAGAATAGTTAATCCAACTTGTCTGATATCTTTTGTGTAATAGTTAAGAGAGACGATACCTCCATTTTAAGAGTTGTTCAATAGTCCAAAGGCAGAGCTGTCGTGTGTATCTGAATGCCCTTTTACAAATGTCCCATGAAAGATGCTTCTCCAGTATATGATTTAATTAACTGTATTAAATATATTAATAATTTTGTTGCAATTGTATGGAGTCATCTAAAAATTATATGTTTGGTCATAGTGCCTTTAACATTTCAAAATATTTGTTTTCAAGGTCTCAGCCCTGTAATATTCAGATATTTAAAGCAATTAACATATTCTGAGACAAGCTAATTCAGTGATAACTACACACATGGAAATCTTTTGGTTTTGAGTGATTACTGTTTTCATCCTTGAGTAAGAAAACAGGTTGTATGGCAGAGGTGAACATAGCTCTTCTATGTGAAGTGGAAAATACCATACACTCCTTATATGGCTAAATGAAGCAGTGAGGGTAATGTACTATAATTACAATGTATGAGAATTTGGGACTTTGTACTCTCTATTTTTAACAGTTGCTAGCATATGGTAATTCGGGGTCCTCAAACCATAGTCTTTCACTGTTAATACTAGTGATAAAAGAATGGATTCTAAATTTGCCAGTCTTGTGACCGAGACAGCAGCAGGAGGATTCAAAAATGAAAATCTGGCAACCCCAGAATTATCTTGACTGTCTACTTAAATCTCAGATGCATTTTAAAGTCCCGCCCCCACTCCATCTCACAGACTCCCTCCCTTCTCCTCCCTTCCCACCTCCCTCCCTCTGACCTCAAATCCAACCAGAAGCATTTCTCCACTCTGCAGAGAATTTCTCAGGCTCCCGTTGAGACCTGAAACGCCAAGAAGCTAGGAAATCTCTTGGGCGACAGAATTGGAGACGAGAAAATTGGAGAATAAACAGAAAAACCACAATCCTTAGAGTAATAAGAAGCAAACACGTCTAAACGTTTCAGTAGGTTTTCTTTCTTTTCCTCTTTCTTCGTTCTTTCTTTCCTTCTCTCGTTTTTTTTTTTTTTTTTTTGAGTCAGGTTTCATTTATATTTATACTGGGCTGGACTCGAACTAAGTATTCAAGGCTGACCTTGAATGTTTGATCCTGCACCTACCTCCAGAGTACTATGATTACAAGCCTGCGCCACCACGCCCGGCGATTTTCCTCTTTTTAAAAACTGGATTTTCTTTTATACTAAAACGTCTCCTAACAAAATGGAGTAGCTGCCGCTACTAAGAGACCAGAGAATGATTGTGCAGCTGAGTTCTTCCAACAAATGCCTAAGATTTCCTCTCTCGTGGTTCGCTGCAGCCAAGTGAAACAATTATCCGCGGCAAGAAGGCAGTTTGCTAATCAAGAGGGCTGTCTTTTTCTTGTTTCTTTTTCTTTTTCTTTCTTTTTTTAAGTGCTTCAGCTGGGGAAGGGGAAAGAGAGGGTCGTGTACCACGTCTTTTTAACCTTGCTGAAGGACGCAGCACTATTTATTGACGTATGCAAATAACTGGGGGGGGGAGGGTGGTGCTTGGGAAAAAACAGGAACCAGAATCAGTTTCTCATCGCTGGGTGAACGTTCTGAGTTCCGGTGAAGGGGAAAGAGACGTGGCGAAATTGCTGTCTTTCTGTCTTATAAGCACATCTCTCACTAATACAGAAAAGGGACCGAGACGTCAGAAAGGGTGAAGACGCTCTCACAGTGTTTTTAAGAGACCTTGCTCGAGCCCTCCTACCCCTCCACCCTCCCCCAGCCCGACCTGCTCTTCTAAATGCGAGATTATGGATTTGCATTGCAATTGGCTAGTGGCAGTGGCACTGGATTTTCGCAAGTAAAACACCCGCCCGCTTCAGTGAGGGCATTCATGATCACACTGACAATAACGCATCTCTCTTTCTTCCCGTTTCAGCTGCGCAAACCATGCAGGATGATTTACTGATGGACAAAAGCAAAACCCAGCCCCAGTCTCAGCAGCAGCAGCGGCAGCAGCAGCAGCAGCAGCAGCAACAGCTCCAGCCCGAGCCCGGCGCAGCCGAAGCCCCGTCCACGCCCCTCTCCTCAGAGACCCCCAAGCCCGAAGACAGTAGCGCGGTGCCGGCCCTCAGCCCCGCCTCGGCCCCGCCAGCCCCCAACGGCCCAGACAAAATGCAGATGGAGTCGCCGCTCCTGCCGGGCTTGAGTTTCCATCAGCCCCCTCAGCAGCCACCGCCACCGCCGCAGGAGCCCGCGGCGCCCGGAGCGTCGCTGTCACCGTCCTTTGGCAGCACCTGGTCCACGGGCACGACGAACGCGGTGGAGGACAGCTTCTTCCAGGGGATCACCCCGGTCAACGGGACCATGCTCTTCCAAAACTTTCCGCACCACGTCAACCCGGTCTTCGGAGGCACCTTCTCCCCACAGATCGGCCTGGCACAGACCCAGCACCACCAGCAGCCGCCGCCGCCCGCGCCAC